TATATAAAAAGGTGTCAACTGGTCAACCTTTGACTCCCCTGGGGTTGACCGTGACCAGCTAGCATGTTTTAAAAAACATTAAAATGTGCATGAGGTGGGTGAGAGCAGAGTTGGGTGGGGGGTGTGGAGAGGGTGAGTGGTGTTAATGAGTGGAAGAGTGCAAGAGAATTCTAGGAGGGGGTCAGGTGGGTAAGCAGGTATATGGTGAAGGCAGGAAAATGTTGGGAAGCCATAGATGTACATGGTATCTGGGAGAGAAGAGGGCCATGTGTGGGGAGTTCCTGTGATAGTGAAACCAGAGTAGTAGACTGGCATGGGCCTGGGAAGGGGAGTTCAGTCTCTATACGCCAAGGCATTAATGCCAGAAAGGCTCCTTGTGGCACTGCTATCTCAGCTCCCCTGTACATCAAGGCAGCGCCATGAATGAAGCTGAGGTGAGAAGCAGGAGTCCACAAAAAAACCCCAGATACATCAACACTTGGGGATTGATCTCCTCTCCCGCATTCCCACACCCAGAGCCCCTTTTGCATACCACATGTCTCCCTAACACAATCCCCCTTCCCTACACACAGTTCTCCTCAGCCCATGTCCATCTACCTGCCCCACTAGCCATCCCCAGTTCCCCCAACACCAGCAAGCACCACCGTGGGGAGCAGGGAAGTGACTGTGTGAGAAGGGTACGGTGGTGAGCAGGGTATGTGAGGGGGTTAGGACAGAGAGAGCACCCTTAGTTTGGTCCTTAATTTTCTCTCTGTTTTGGGAACACCATCTTACACTCCTTGAGTTCATTCCACCACAGAAGATACTGCTGGGTGGTAAAAAGAGGGTTATTACCTGAGGATGTGGGAGCTTTGCTAGGGACAAAGTTCCTTAACATGGCAGATAAATCTCTCCTCCCATTTTCCTTTTGTTTATTCTTCAGAGCAGAGAGGTAGGGAAGCTCAGAGAACAGATCAGACAACAGTGACCAAGTATCAGTGCACAAGAACAAAGAGCAAAGCATAGGAGTATATGCCCACCTAGAATTTCAAGAACTATAAAGCACCAGAAGAGCAACATCACTCAGTGAGAGAAAAAAAGTCAGAAAAGAATGCAGTGATCCATGATGTGTGCTTTCAGGGTAACTTGATTCCTTATAATAAGAGTATCTTTAAAATGCATTGGACATTGAAAGTATATGATGGAGTGTTAAAATTATGCACACTGGTGTCAGAGGGGAAAAAAAGAAAGTTATTTGTTAACAATGAACTGCAAAAGTGTGGAATTCCATAGCCCAAGTTTCTGATAATTAGATATTGAAATCTAATTCTTGTTGCTCTCTTATTTTATTATTTTACTCATTACATGCTTTTCTACTTTCTACTGGACCTTCACTATTATTACTATTAAAGGTAATTTATATAGAGCTGCAAATTTACACAGAGATTTTCAGGGTAAGACACATTACCTGTCCCAAAAAAGCTTACTATACAGGCATACAGATTGATTTGAAAATTGAAATAAACAGCATATTCATCCATACCCACCCAATACTCTAACTTACTGTCTCTGTGCTGCCATAAATTAGACCTAGTTTAACCCCAATTTATCTCTGCTTGTGTCAGTAATGTTGAAAATACTATGGAGATGTTGCATTCAGTCCCATGAAGAAGAACCTCTTAAAAGCAACATGTATTGGCTGTAACAGGACATCTAACCCCTCCAGTCCACCTTAAGTTTGGCATCTCTAAGTTGGTCTGTAACTCTGCATCTGTCTTGTTTCAAAATGTGGTCCTATGGAGAGGAAACTATTGTTCAAGATTGCCAAAATTATTTGGGATGTAAAGGAGAAAGCATATTTTATACTGATGATGTCAGATTTCGAGTCCTTTTCAATGTTATTGCTCAATGACCTAAAAACCTTGAACCCTGTTTAAAATGATTAATATGGAGGCTCTTACTGAATCCTCTAGCTTTAAGGTGAATTGAAGGAAGAGAAACTCAGGCCCAAGCTAAGTCAAGAGAAGTTTTGTCACTGCCATTAATGCAGCCATGATTTCACCCAAAAGGAGATACTTTCACTTTGGTCCAAGTATCTTTGTCAAGATTTGACATGTGAAATAGGAAAAAGACACGTTTTCTAAAAAGAAATCTAAAAATATTTTTTCCAGCTCTGAATTGGCAAATACTACAAACATTTTCTCTGAAGCATTCATTTTAAAACTTAAGTTAAATGAAACGTATTTCTTCAAACTTAAGTGCCTAGTAAAAATGTTCTGTCCTCAATTTCAAAGCAATGAGTAAACAGCAAAAAAGCCTTTTTGCATGGAAATATGATGTACTACTCAGAAATGAATTTTAAACTAGTATTTCAGAGGAAAATCTCACCTTCCCTGGTTCTGATTGGGAGAATTCTCAAACTTCTAACAAAATCAAAGATGTAGCTATATATAGCTAATATTATAAACTACATGGAAATCTAGCAAAGGACTGGCATGTAACCAATATACCAGTCTTTAATTCTCTAGAAATGTCCAGTACAGCCAAAGATGCAACATGACCATCACACCAATACCATTATTTGGGGGATCACATGCATGCATTCCACATGAAAACCATTTTTAAATTATCTCTGAGCTATTCATTTATAATAGCAATAATGTCTTCATTGCAGGGCATTCCATGGAGATTAATGATCTCTTGGGACTAATGGCCTATATGCGGATCATTAGTCCGAGGAAGAGTGTTTCCTTTATTGTAATCATTTAAATATTCACCAGCAACAACAAAAATCATTATTTTAAGCAATTATTTGTTTTCACTCTTGTGCAAACAATGATGTACCTATTGTTAACAAAAGAGGCACTTCCATTCTTAGACATGTAAAGTCACTGAAAGAAACATCAAATGTTAGAAACAACTCTTCAGCCCTTCCATATGGTTAAACATTTTGTAGGGGAAGTCCAAAAAATATGTAATTCTTATAACACATTTTTTATATTTTGTAGGAGTTTTCTAACAATTGTTAACTAAAGAAATACAATCACATGGAAAACTATTTTGTTTTTATTCTCAGCCCTACTCCACAGTTTGTTTGTGTTAGTTGATCTGTATTGTCAATCATTAATGCAGAAAGGAAAGTTACTCATCCATAGCTGGAGTTCTCAAAGTATATTGCCTGGGAAGACCCAGACTCACTCATCCTAGTTCCCTGCTTCTTTGGAGTCCTCATTTGATATTCTCAATTGCTGCAAAAGAACTAAGGGCAGTGGGGAGATGGGCCCTTACATAACTTCACACTAAATGTTTTGATTCATGGAGCCCTGATGACACATGTGCAACTCTGCAAAGGCAAGATACTCTCAGTGCTCCAGTAACAGGTAAGTCATTTTTCTTTTTTCTTGCATGTGTCTATCATTGTGACAGCAAGGATTTTTAAAGAATCCTACAGTATAATGGAAATGGGAGGCTGGAACCCAAACTGAAGGATGGGATGAGTTCTAATTTGCTTCATTTTTCTGTTGACCGCGAGGGGCAGAGCTATCAGTGGGAAAGCACACAAAGCCTAACTTAGAGAAGCAGTCTCCAGTTTTGCACTCACAATTAATTAAGCATACATGCTGTGTCACAACACAAAGATAGCTATCCGCTGTGAAGATAACGGAGCACTGAATGCTGCTTATCAGAGCTTACAACTAAACTAAACCTACAGTTCCAAGGGATCAAGTCAATACTGATATTACAGAAACATACACTACATCTACCATTATATTATTATTAATTTTTATTTATATTACAATAGTGCTTAGAGACCCCAACCAGGATTAGAGTGTCATTGTAATAGACATTAAACAACCATATAGTAAGAGTCAATCTTTGCCCTGTAGAATTTACAATCTAAATAGACAAGATAAAAGTTGGAAGAGTTCATAGATTCCAAGGCCAGAAAGGATCATTGTGATCATCTAGTTGCACATAGGCCATTGAATTCCCCTAAAATAATTCCTAGAGCAGATCTTCTAGAAAAACACCCACTCTTGATTTAAAAAGTGTCTCCACGACCCTTGGTAAGTTGTTCCAATGGATAATTATTCTAATTATTAAACATTTACACCTCACTTTCCGTTTGAATTTGTCTAGTTTCAACTTCCAGCCATTGGACCATGTTATAACTTTCTCTGCTAGACTGAAGAGTCCATTATTAAATATTTGTTCTCCATGTAGGTACTTACAGACCAGTGTGCTTCAATTAACAACCTACGAGCCATATCTGGCCTCAAAGGGCCTTCTGTTTGGCCTGTCGGGCATCAGTGGCTCCATCCTGCTCCCCTCCTGCTACTCTGCCCCAGGCTCCTGATGGCTTCAGCCCCTGCACTTTCCCTGCCAATCCCAGCTATAGTGTCCCTATGACGACCAGTCTCTGAGCGCCTAGTGGGGGAGTTGAGTCCTGAGGCGCTTTTGCAAATCCCATTAGGTGCCTATCTGCATCTTTAAGCACCTAAATACCTTTACAGATCTGGTCCACAGAAACCAAATAAATTACTTACAATAAACTTGTTTAAAAACATACATGAAATGTCACTCTATGTGCTGCAACAAATAATGTACAGTTTGCGGAAGTCTCTTTCTCTCAGCATGCAAAAATTTAACATGTTACTTAAACTGCTGAAATGTCTCCATCTGTTGGCCTGATTTGAGCAAACTGATTCATGAGGAGACTGGAATTAAGTATATTCTGGTACTACTTACAACATCCCTGAAAAACTAGAATGTGTGCAAACCAGATGATTATTTAAAGACTAGACAGATCATGCTGTTAAACTGAGATCCAACCCATTTTCCTACAGTAATTTAATATTGCAAACATGGGTGTATATTCCAATTACAAAATCTTGTGACTCCAGCAGGCCATGTAGTTAACTAATGAAGATTTGTGCAAAGAAACTTGTTTGGTGAGCTTTATCTAAAATTTTGCACTGACCGATTTTAAAAGCCCCACTGAACTTATTTAAAGTCCTTACCAGTTAATTTCTTCACAGGTTGGAGCCGAACACTGATAGACTGATGTGTGAGTAAGGGGGAGGATGGAAGAGAGCGAGACATGCCCTCCATAATCCGAATGTGCTGCATACCTTCGGTCACTGGGAGTGGTGGAATAGCGTAGTCTGGTTCAAAAGCACAGTCGTTCTCTGTGGAGGTGCCTGATAGGAATGTAAAAATAAAACAGAACAGTTTGTAATAAAAGGAAGCCTACTGTTTTTATCAATTCCTAGACTCAGGAATTTGCTGGCTTAGGCTGACTAGAGACTTTCTAATATTTCCATACTATTTCTCACAAAATCACACAAACCTTTTAGTATTGGACTGCTCCTTCTCATGCTCATCTTACAAAATGTTTATGCTTCCCATGAAGAAATTACATTTATACAATAGCAAAGAAGTGAATGTCTCATATAGAGTAACGAACAACATAACTAGTTAGATTTTAAGTTTTATCATTTTACTTTGTTAAGCATTCTAGAGTGATCAGTTTTAATGTAATTACTACCCTGGCGAATAATTGATTTTTTTCAGCCAACAAACCATTCATTTTTGTTCTGAAAATTGTTGGAATTTGTCAGCAAATTGGAAAAGTCCACTCAGCTTCAAAAAACTGTGTGTGCACGTGCATGTCCCTCTTATAACCTTTAGCCCAGTGGTTAGGAGGCCACTTGCCTTGGAGATGGGCGATCCAGGTTTGAGTCCCCACTCTGGAGCAAAGACTTGAACTCAGATCTATCTCCTGTCAGGTGAGCATCCTAATCACCAGGTTTACAGGCTATTCAGGGGTTGATTGCTCTCAGTGTCTCCTTTTGAAACGGTTCCACATTGCACAAATATTTAAATACTCATTGGAGCAGGGACTTGAATTCAGGTCTCGCTTCTACCAGGTAAGTATCCTTACCACAGGGCTATAGGTTATTCTGCAGTCAATCTTTCTTATTGAAGCTGTTCGACTCTCTACAAATACTTAAATATTAATTGGGCAAAAGAGCAAGAAAGAGTGGGAGAATGACATTAGACTGGGAGATAGAAGATATAGACTCAGATCTTCTCTCTGCCTGGATTACATGGTGCATCAATATTTACCGTCTTCATTTTACCTGCTTCTTCACTTTGTAATATGATTTATTTATTAATTTGAATTTTTACTACTCTGCAATAAAAGAGCACCTCCTAAAACTCCAAGTGCTCTTGATAATCTTTCAAAAATACACTAATAAATGATGATTCACAGGTTTGTACTCACTTGTATCAGTTTTTGTACTGTGTCATGGTAGCTATAAATGTATATTGTATTCTATTTTTCAATTTCATTGCTGCTTTAAATAATTAAATACTTACATTATTTTATTTAAAAGAAATATATTTATAAATGTATAAAAGATATTTACATTCCTAAATACAAATATTCCTAAAATAAAAATAAAAATTTTGTTTGACATAGTTCAGAGTTTTGTTTTGTTTATAGACGGATATTTGTCAATAGATATACAGAAATTCTTACATTAAATGATATAAAATAGATCTATTTTAAAATAAAGTGTAAGGAGTCTGTTCATAAAGGTTTTCAAATGCATTGTTTCTTATGATTTATAATCCCAAATACATTTCCTCCCACCCAACCCCACCAAAAAGATTCCTGTCTGGTGCACACATCTAAACTTCCAGAATCTCAGACTAGTCAGAAATCTTTAGGCTTTAAAAACTACAGAATTAACAGACCTTAATCTGTATTTCATGCAATTCTATAGGACCACACAGAAACAGATCCCTTAGATTTCTATATGTCCAGTGATGCTATCCATTGCTCTTTTCACTTCTCCACTCTCATTTACTAGAATGACAGAGGAGCTGCGAAAGATGGAGTCTGTTACCTTATTATTTCTTGGATTAACATTCTTGTAGAACAGCAAATCTGAGCTAAATTGCTGGCTTACAGATGAGAAGTCATTCTTACCAGGTTACCTGCTAATGGACAGACTAGATTTACTCAGAGCAGATACTGAGTCAGAGGCTCAACTGGTGTAAATCAGCAGAGTGGAGCTATGCTAATTTACACCATATGAGAATTTGGCTCATGTTTCTCTGATTCTTAAACACTTTATTTAGATAGAGAGCTCTAAATTTTCTGCAGTCTTATCACTAGGCACTAAAGAGCCTTTGGGCTAAGTAAAATACCTTTACCGAATTGAATTGTTGCCTTGTTTGAATTCAGGTGATAATTTTAGAATCTAAGGGTATGTCTATATTACCTGCCGGATCAGCGGGCAGTGATCGATCCAGCGGGGGTCAATTTATCGCATCTAGTCTAGACGCGATAAATCGATTCCTGAGCGCTCTCACATCAACTCCTGTACTCCACCGCTGCGAGAGGCACAGGCAGAGTCGACAGGGGAGCGGCAACAGTCGACTCAACGCAGTGAAGTAGGTCTAAGGTTTTTCACAAAGCTGAAGTTGCGTAACTTAGATCAATCCCCCCTCCCCCTCCCAGTGTAGACCAGGCCTAATTGAAGCTCCTCAAGGAACAGTGCCGTCAAATAGTTCATTTTATTTGTCCTTGTTCTTTTTTCAAGTTCAAAGTTTATTCTGTATCTCACTGCCACTCATTTCTGCAATTGCTCTTGAGCCCCCTTCTACCCAAAGCCCTACCAAACAAAACAAACCAACCAAAGAAGAGGAAATTAATAAAAGATCTACAAGAAGCTCACAACTCTACCTCAAAGAGAGGCTTACCTCTAGAAAGGGAAAAGTGTGAGAGAAGTCCACTGAAGTTCTCTGTGAACTTTGTTATTGATTTTCTGTGGAAGGTACTCAGATATGATGGCATGGGGTGGCAGTATCCCAGTTATTGCAATATAAGCAAACCGAAGACTGATGGGAATTATTATTATTATTTTAATGTAGAGAGCATTTGGAAGCAGAATTAATTTCTCCCTGCAACGTACGGAATAAGCAGATCTTTGCTTGTGATCCAGGTTATTTGATGCTCCTTCTCCAGTTACTAACTTTACCAGAATTTTTAAGCAAATATTCTGAATATTCAATAAATAGGGACAAACTGCTAACAATTGTACAGAGACATTTGAATGATATTATAGATATGTATATTTGCCATACTGTATGCAGAGAAGCAAAAAGAAATGTGGATACTGAGTAAGTAATACGGAAAATTATGATTTATCCATTAAGACTCCCTTGGTTTTGCTAACTGATGGTCAAGCTCTTACGTAAATAGAAGAGGGAAAATTAGAAATGATGCATGAGATTCTCACCCCTTTCTTGTCCCTTTATGCCTGTTACAAGTGCCGGGGAGGCACAAAGGGTCTTGAAAAGCCCTGAATCCAGCTGGGGGAGAATTTCCCCTAGTATAGGAACTGAGGAAGATTACTACAGGACTCCCTCACAAACCCTAGCACAGGGAGTATGCTTTGGGCAGGAGGCGCATAGCACCAGCCCGGAACACTGCAGAGATTCTGAGAAGCATAGCCACCCACAGGCCAGCCTGCTGTAATTTCGAGCGGGGCTGTTAAAATTCCACCACTGGTTACTCTGGCCCCCAGAGCAGCCTAGAACTGGGAAGGCATGAAGGTGACTTGAAGCCACCTTCGCCCTTGTTCGTCTTGGGCTACGAGTTCTGTGCTACTCTTCTTAATTATTAGCATTTGGGGCCACAAAAAGAAATGTGTCAAAATCTATGCTAGCATCTGCTACACAAAAGTTGCAAAAGGAATGATCTGCATCAATCTTTAATTTTATAGCGATAAACTGCCACATATTAAATGCCACATTCTCTTTCTCCCAAGTAATAACGACATCTGAGAACTGTTCCTAAGCCAATTGTTTGGAAGCATGTGCTCAGAGGACCAGAATGGTACTTTGGGGCTTCATATAGTTCAGTTTCTTAAATTACTGGCTTGGAAAGGAAGCTCAACGTGTCTGGGTGCAAAATTAAACATTTGACAAAAAGTACATTCATTGCGTTGCTGTTCTTTTACAAAAGAGTGGGGTTGCAAAGGTGTAATTTAGGGCATAATTTGGATCATTATCTTCACATTTTCAACTAGTTTCTTGAGGTCAGTTTTGTGATCAGGAATGGATTAACTGATTTCTTAAAAATAAAAACAGATCCAAATTTTCACACATCACTTGCAACAAATCAATTCTAATATTTGAAAAGAATTACTTAAGGACCTTCTGTTTCCAGAGGCATCTCGCTAATACACTGGAGTACTGTGGCGTTCTGTGATAACTTGCCTCCAGATTTACAACAGTTATCCTTTATATTTTATTGCAAATATACATTACTTGATATCTGATACATAAACTATACTTACTGAGCAGAGAATTATGAGAGGTGCATCTAAATTTCTCATAGATTATCTCATTTCTTTGATTTTGCAAAAGATCAGATAGATTTTAGCCATGGGTTCTGATCACCTTTGTTCCTGTGTTATAATTTTCCTCTCTGAAAGCAATTATTTGATTTCCATTGGATAGCTTTGTGTGACTTTCAGTAGTTTGTGTGAATAAATATAGGTTTATAAAAACTAATTCACAGAGGTGGATAACAGAGCTGAATTGTCACACGTGGATAAGGCAGAAAAGATAAATGCCTTTGATACATTATAATTCAGAAGAGACAACAGCCTGAGTTTATTGTAGCTATCCAAAAAAGGCTATATCAACAGTGTAAAATAGTCAAGGGAATACATTATTCATTCACATAGCAGAAAACAGATTTAAATAATTCTGAAGTTCTCAGACAACTCCTTATCAGAAAACTGATAAAAAGTTATACATTTTACAGCTAAAATATACGGACCCATAACCAATCTTAAAGTCAAGGAATACTTCACAACATAGCTGTATCCTTCTACAATGAAAAACAAAACAAAAATTAACTATTATTGCACATGCATGTTCAAGTGCAGTACTGGATGCCTCCATGTAGGACTCTTAACATCCATCTGACGATAGATGTTACTTTTCTTTGCCCATGTATTGAAGATTTAATCATAGAATCATAGAATATTTGGGTTGGAAGGGACCTCAGGAGATCATCTAGTCCAACCCCCTGCTCAAAGCAGGACCAATCCCCAGACAAGCCTCCTGGAGTGATCAGGCTCTGAGGAAACAATCATCCAGGTATGGATAGATC